CAAGCATTCTGCATTCATATGCCACAGGCCTGAGACCAGGTGTTGTCCCAAGCCACCCTCAATCAGATGCTCTGTAGAGCTCCCCAGTGACAGGGCTGTATTCACCCTTCATTTTTCTTTCTGCCTGTAACCATCTGTTCTTTTACATCTTCTACAAATGGCTTTAGAAAGGAAAGTGTGAAGATCTCTACATCTGCTCTTCGTATCTAAACGTTCTTTCTCTGCCAAGTAACTGGAAGCAGCCTCCCTCAACTCTAGCATCTGGTACAGTACCTGTCATAAAACCACCACTTTCTGCTCATTCAGTGCCTGAGTGACCAAACAACCAAACTACTTTCCCTTTCCTGAATGAATGCAAAGTGTTCTTTTCTTTAAATTTATTTTATTTATTTATTTATTGAATGGACACACCACTGAGCACGTGCTGAAGCCAGAGAACAACTTCCAGGAGTCAATTCTCTCATTCCACCATATGGGTCCTGCAGATCAAAATCAGATTGTCAGGTTTGATGGCAAGCCCTTTATCACCACTGAGTCATCTTACTGATCCTTATTTGCTATCTTTAAGTACCACTGAGACTGATTTCAACTTTTTTTCAGCATAGAAATCATTACTATACAATACTCAACTATGGTTCTGAGTTATAGTCACAGATCCCAATCCTTTATCCAATTTTTTTTTAAAGGAATGCAATCTTACGTGATTTGATCAAATGGATCTTGTCTAAATTTCTCAGCTGTTTTTGTGGGTGGGCACATATTTTGCCAGCTTTGTTCTCTGTCAGTAGACGACTGGAAGAAGGAATATATCTGTTTTGTTCTGCTTCTGTCACTGGCTTGACTGTAGACAGAACTACTTGCTGACCCTTGGGTAGGTATGCAGATCCTTGGGTAGGATGACAGCCATGTTGGATAACAGAACAACCAGGGTCCTATGTGCTGAGTGAACATGACTCTACATAGAATTAAAATAAAGACAAGCTCGTCAATTTAAAGATGAGAAACACAAGTTGAATACAGGTATATTAGTCACTTTTCTGTTGCTGTGATAGAAACACTGACCACAGCAATTTATAGAAGAGTTTATTTGAGCTTATGGTTCCAGGGGACTTACAGTCCTTTATGGCAGGGAGGCATGGTGGCTGGAGGTGGCTGAGCAGGAGCAGCAGGAGCTAAGCTCTCACATCATCACACAGGCACAGGAAGCAAGAGGGCGATTAGAGATCTGGCAAGGCTTAAGAACTCTCTAAGCCCACCCCCAGTGATATGCTTCCTCCAGGATACCACACCTTCTGAAACCTCCCAAAACAGTGCCACCATCTGGGGACAAAATGTCCATATCCTGGAGCCTATGGGGGACATTTTCATTCAAACCATCACAACAGGTAAATACAAGTTGGTACTGAAATTATTATATATTGTCCTTAGCTATTAAAAAAAAAAGCCTCACAATGGAATTATCAGTCACAAAAAGAAACAAAATATTGGTCATACTATTAAATAGATGAAACCTTCAAATCATTATGTGAAGACATACATAAGACTACATATTTTTATTTCATCTTAGGAAATATCCAGAAAGGCAAATCCACAGGGGTAGAAAACAATGAGCAGGTGCCAACAGTGCTTAGTAGGGATAAATCAGGTGTGAGTGCTTGGTGGGTACAGGGTTTCCTTTTGGGATGAATAAATGTTCTGGAACTAAAAATGATTGTGCACTGTGAACTGATTAGTCACTAGTAGAAATTTAGTTGTGGATGTTACTACATTAAAAAAAATTGGGCCAGGCATGGTGGCACATACATTTAATCCCAACATGGTCAACATAGTGAGTTCCAGACCAGCCAGGGTTATATAAGGTGAGACCCTGTCTCGAATGAAGAGTTTTTGGCACATAACAATTTCATAAATTTGAATCCTATTCCTTAAAACAGAAAATTATCTGGATAATTAATTAAAAATTTAATCAGTGGAATGGTATTAAAAGTATGAATCTAAGCCGGATGTGGTGGCGCACGCCTTTAATCCCAGCACTTGGGAGGCAGAGGCAGGCAGATCTCTGTGAGTTCAAGGCCTTAGGCCACCCTGGGTTTCATAGTGAAGTCAGGACAGCTGGGGCTACAGGTAGACCCTGTCTCAAAAAAACCAAAAAAAAAAAAAAGCATGAATCTGGGCTGGAGTACTAATATAGAAAGATGCCCAAGACATATTTGATGAACGAATAAACACTGAAGGCTTGGTCACATTGTGAAATCCTGTTTCAGAAAGGGGGAGGGGTGGGTAGACCAGACATAGCTCAGTTGGTAGAGTGCTTGCCCAGCATGTACAAGACATGCTAGGGGTTCAACCCCTAGCAACACATAATACAAACCAGACATGGAAGTGTACCACAGGCCTGTAATTACTGCACTTGGGGGGCAGAGTCAGGATCCAGAGTTCAAAGCTACGTTCTACTACATAGCAGGTTTGAGGCCAACTTGGGAGGAGTTCATGAAACCTTGTCTTTAAAAAAAAACCCAACATATATACATATCTATACATATATATATAATGAGAATATAAGATAATACTAAGAAATTCCACCCACAAGTCTGAACTCTTAAAAAAAATCATTTTATTGATCCTTTACCATACAAAATTTATTCAAATTCCATCCATTTGAAGTGGTAAGATCACAGCTAGAGAACAGTCACTGTAACAAATCTATTTACAAAATCCATCATAAAAGCTTTGTTTTTTACATTATATTACATTATTTTATGTTTTTAAACTAGCATACAACACAAAGCAAAACCGATTAGTAGTTTGCCTACTCCCAATGTTGGGAGAAACGCTTCCTTTTTACAAAAGCTTGTACCTGGTAGGAAGACACTCGCACACCCTGACAACCGCCACCCCGGTTCCTCTGCAAAGTATCTTCCTTCAGACCCCCTCTTCTCTCTCTCACACACATGTTGTTGTACACACGCCAGTTCGTACTTCGTTCTTCCTGAAAGCTAAAGCTTTAAATACTGCAATTCTATTTACAGACAGATCTACATGTAGGACGAAATGAAAAGAACCACCATCACAACATAAGAACCAGAAACAGGGTAACACTCTTAAACAATTACAAACCAGCTAGAAAATACTCTGGCAGTGTTTACAAATTAATCGATAATCTGTACAAAACCAGTAAATAATGGTGATGCAGACAGACTACGTCATCAACTTAAATAAAACTGCTATGCACAGTCTGTACACAGAAACACACGCCTAACACTGACAGCTCATGTGTTGCCCTTTATACATTTTAATTTTCTAAGGCTCACGCAGTCATGATTTGCACACTTGTACTTTCAGCCATTCTGTGTGTGAGCTTTATAGCAGCAACTCAACGGTACCAGGGAAACTGCATTCTCAGGACTTAAAGTAATAAAAATACTGTAGTACTCACTTACTTTGTGTGCCAGATACTACATGAAAAAAAAAAGCCAAAATGCAAACAGAACACAGTATGGACATCTCATCCCTGTACACCAGTTAAGCCCAGTAACTGGAAAAGTCTTATGCATGAAGGAACTTTTGAAGACTTAATAGTATTCCTTTTATTTCTTAAAACAATAAATACGGTATTACATTATGAATAGGTTCAACGAGAAAAGTCAACCAAACACACAACAGCCTAGAACCAGGTGAGTTCAGTCATCAGACTTTTGGGGAAAGAAATCCAAAACAAAACAAAAAAACACCCCGAAGAAAGAAACCCCAAAAACCAAAACAGCTCTGTGCAGCTGGTAAGGAGAATCCCACAGGCTGAAAGCAGAGGCAGATGAGATAGGACGGGCACGGAGGAAAGCTTGGCATAAATGGTTTCCCATACTGGGAAAAAACCCACAGTGCATTTCCAATAGGCACTTAACATAAAGCTCCTCCTCCCCCTCCTCCACCCCAGTGCTTCAGCTCAGACCACACAGATTATTTTGTACCAAGTCCAGTGTGTGTGAGGGGAGGAGACTGGGGATGGAGGCTGAAGGAGAGGAAGATAGTCTGCACCTTTGATTTTAATTCCCAAACATACACCACGCATACCCACACACAGTTTAAAGTGCCGGCGTCTTCTGTCTCCCCCCCTCCCCCCCACCACATTGCATATTGTGGAAATCTATCCAGAGTAAACTGGCCAGGGTTCTTGTGGTTTAGTGAAATGTTTTCCGAAGGGATATGAGTTGAGTGCCCACTATGAGCCTCCTGGCGGGCCAGGCACATAGTGTTTCAACTGTTCAGTTGGGAGGTTAGTTCTCACGACTTCCGGGTTTCTACAGCCCTTAGCATCCAAGGAGTGGATGTGAGGTACTATACCTTATTTAAACACCAGGTCAAGATGGCCACCGCCACCTGCTGGTGGGAATGCCATGCTAGGAAACAACTGGTAGGATGTGCAGCTGACAAAGCCTCCAGTTTGGGACACCATTCCTGAGGATTAACGGGGATGCCTGGTATTCTTATCACTTCACTTTCTACCTCTTGACTTCCATTAACCCATCTCACTCCTTCCTGGGGGAAGGGATGCGTAGGCTTGGGCCAGAACTAGCCCACTCCCTGACACAGTGGAAGGCCCCCGCCACGTCTCAGCTTCAGGAAGCATCCCTGATAGAATACCACTCACACAATGGGATGTCTTTCTCCCTAGAGGCCTCTCCATCTGACCCCATCCTGAGAAGTGATCTCCCTGAGTGTGACCTTAAGAGCCCTTTCCCTGGTCGCAGGGGCCTGGGAAGCCCAAGGATGGAGGGATCCAAGCCTGCTGCTCCACGGGACTGCTGTGTCATCTGACCTGTGGTCCTCACTATGGACCACTCAAGCCAGTGAGCTCCAGACCTGTTCTCACTCCAAGCTCCCGATCCAGGAAAGGAAGCAAGATGGAAGGATGCTTCTTGCAGAGGCTGGAGGACCTTAGGTCACACAGGCTTGGGTGCTCTCACCAGTGGAGGTTCTCCCTCTGCTAAAGAAATAGGAATTTGCAAAATTCACCTTAAGGTAAACAATTCAATTGAAATGGTGATGGTTGCAACAGGAATGCTTGGATGGCAACTAGAAAAATAAGAATTCTAAAACAACCCACAAGGACCTAAGTAATGAACCGGAAACTCACAAATACGCTGGGGATGGGGGAGGTGGAATTGGGGTATGAAGACAGGAAAATCCACAACAGCTTCGAGCGGCGGGGCTCTTCTGTCTCCCGTGTCTGCAGCCAGAATTTGCAAACACATTCTTCATCCAAAAGGCTGCGGAGGCTCTCTGGACCTCCCCGTGGGACTCGCGGCCCATAGCTTACACTGAATTATGACAGTAATTTAAATATTCCTAAGAAGAGCTTTAGAAATCCGTTTCGTACGTTTGCATGACTTCAAGCTTGCATTTGCGGCAGAGTTCCATTCCATGTTAGCGGACCGCAAAGACATGCATTCTGCAGAGAAGGCACGGCTTGAGATGCTATTAAGGAAGAGTGCTGCTTTCCAGTGGGCCAGGTGGCCAGGCCCATTTGACAGCCCATCCGTCAGGCACAGCAAGCCAGTCTGAGAGGGAAGGAAGGAGCGAAAAGGACAGGTGGGACACCTGATTGCACATCTTCTCATTTGCTGACTCATCAGGAAGATTTTGGAGCCTGGGATCAGGCAGGGATTTCTCAAGGGAGCCTACATCTGTGCGCTTAGGAAAAAAAAAAAAATTCTCTTTTAATAATTCATTAAAATGTCAGCTTTGTTCTGAAATTTGTAGTTTACTTCATGATACACTCTTGGAGGAAGAAGACAGGAAGAGACAACACTGCATGAGAGATGTTCAGGTTCCATGATAAAAAAATATTGGTTTGTAAGGAGAGTTCGTACAAAACATGATCAACTACACATGAAGTCTTCTACAAGGGGTAGCTTTTCCAGATCATAAGCATCGAAGAGATCGCTGATGCCTTCCTCCTCCCCTAGGCTCAGCAGATAGTCCTCCTGGAGTAGGGGAGGCAGTAAGCTCACAAACGGTCCTTCAAGGTTGGAAGGAATTTGGTCCTCAGTCTGCTGTAAAAGATTAGCTGGGGAGGCCAGAGGAGAAAGATTTGCCGTAGAAACGGGGCAGACACTATGTCCTGAGTTGTTAGAAGCCAAGTCTGAAAGGAGAAAAATGATTTTCCAAAATTAGGAGAAAATTCAAACCTAACAAACCCAAACCAAACCCCGACATTTTCTGAAAGACTGTGTGGCTGCTGTCCCTCAGCTCATGGGGCGACTCTGGGATACGAGTCAACCTTTAGGCAAACAGGCATGCAAGAGTAACATCACTTTTCTTTGTTCTAGTTTACCTATAGGCTCTTAAAATAGGTGGTGCTAAAAAATATGAACGCAAGTAGTTCCAAAGACGAATGCCAGCAAGATTTTCTATGTCTAGTTATTAAGAAAAAAGAAAACAAAACAAAAAAAACAAGACATATATACCAAAGAGTCTGCTCCTAGTAGAAACTTCTTAAAGACAGGGATCACTGTGTGATCAAACATGTGAGCCATCATCCAGCTCTCCACATTCACTCATCTTAACCTAGTGTCTCTGTCTTTCTCTGTCAATATAGGGTCTCACTCTAGCCCAAGCTGGTTTGGAACTCACTATTTAACTGAGGTCATCTTCAAACTTGTGATCCTTCTGCCTCAGCCTCCCCAGTGTTGAAATTACAGGTCTGTCTTTAACTTAAGTCTTTTTTGAACAACTAGCTTACTAACGATTCCTCTAAAAAATACACACAATAAAACATAGTCTTGTTTTACTGAAGTGAGGGAGGTTACAATTAGTTTCCTGGGGTTCTTGGATTATATCTTCTCCCTACCACTTTGTGGAGAAAAAAGAGGCAAAGATTCTCTGGCAAGGGCTCGTCTCTCTAAGCTCTTTTCATTTCTCTCCCTTCTGAGCTCAGGAACATCATTCAAGATGTCCAGTCAACCATAGTGGACAGCTGGAGCCACTGTATAGCCTCACTCCTCATTGGAGTTGCTGTCCACACACTGAGGAAATGCTTTCTGCTGACAAGAACCCAAAGAATCATCATCTGTGAGGGGAGAACTTTGTTCTGTAAACTAGTTATAATGCCTTAAAAAAAAAAAAATGTTCCCCTTATAACAATCCAGTTTTTCTTTCTGTCTTAGACATGTGGTCCTGATGGAGGACACTTCCAGTCACTTACTGCTTCATAAAGACAGGAGTTGCGATATTTACCTTTGGAAGTGGGCTTAGAGATATTCCCATTGTGGTCTTGGTTGCTTGTTTTCGTGGGACTGTGTGTTTCAGTCTCTTCTGGACACAAGTAAACCTCAATGGGTCCTTGGGTACTTGCCAAATGTATCTGTAGACTCTGTATGAATATAAGCAAGAGTGTTCAACCCAGAAGTTCACACCAGTTAGCTGTCAGCTAAAACGGAACAGGGAAGTGTGACGTTTACTAATCACTTTGCTTCCTTACTCCTAGACTGATTCTATCAGTGATGGCGCTCCTCTAGAGTAATGGTCAGTAAAGAACAAGCCAAGGGCCAAATACAATCCACCAACCAGCTAGGTAAATGTTTTATTGAAACAGAGCTGTGATCATTTGCAATGTGTATATACTGGATCTGGCTGTTTTCGTATCATAATAGTATAGTTTAGTAACTGAATGAACAGGAGCTGTGTTGCTCACAAAGTCAAAGACAATCACAACTTAGAACCTGAATGTTTATTGGGGTGTGTGTGTGTGTGTATGTATGTGAGATATTCCAGACTTTGAAAGGCATTATTATTATTATTTGAGACAGGGTCTCACTATGTAGTTCAGTGCTTTGATTAAAGGCATACACCACCCCATCCTGCTGAAAAGGTCTTTAGATATACCCTTTTCCTGCAAATTATTAAAAGGTCTAGTAAGTGCTCTAAGTATTAGATATTCCTATGTAATTGTTCCCTCATGGTAAGACTTTTTAAAGTTAAACTTTAATAACCAACTTATGAACATTATTCTAAAGTGCTAAGAGCTGCGCTTAATAAGAGAAGGCAGCATACTGATACCTACTGATATTTAAATTCGTTCTTATTTAGGTCACAGTGTTACCTTTTTAAAAATTTAATTTTTAAAATTTTATGTGTATTATGTATTGCCTGCATGTAGGTAGGTGCAGCCGTGTCGTGCAATGCCTGCAGAGGTCAGAAGAGGCTGTTGGATCCCCTGGGACTGGAGTTATGGACAGTTGTTAGCTGCCATGTGGGTGCTGGGATTTGAACCTGGTCATGGTGTTACCTTTTAAGGTAAGAAGTCTACTTTGCATATTTCTTCCTTATTTCCTTAATCTTACCACTAGAGATTAGGTGAGATTAGGGAAAGTATACCTGAAAGCAATTACAAAAATACGTGACCTACTTACTCAAAATATTCTAGTCTATTGATTACCCCAAGGTCCCATTAAATTTCTTCAAAGTAAACATGTAACAAAAGATTTTTAAAACATCCTTAACATGTGCTAAGTTAGGGAGCCACTTTGAAAACACTTGTAGCTCTGTTTGTGCTGAGAACTGTTCATACACAGGGTAATCGATGTAAAAGTTCCCATGTGGTTCGAACTGACCAGAACCACCAGGTAACCAACTATGAAAAAGAAAGAGTTCAAGAGAGATAGGGCAACATAGATTGTTCTGATCAGAATGCCCTTCTAAGTTAAAATAAGACATATCGGACATTTCATAAACAGAGAACTGTTAAACCATTTTTAAATTTAGGGTTAAGCAAAATAAATGAAAAGGGACTTTCAAGTTCTTAGGAAGGAACAGATTTTAACCACGAGTCAATGATTCTTCAAATCTAGGCATTCCCGAAAGTTCTCTGTGGATGTACCAAGTCACCGTCTCCTTACCTCTATTGAGTCAGGCACTTCAAGTCTTGTTTCTGGAGGGGCTTTCACAACTATAACAGTTTGGTCTTTAAGGCCACTAATTTTTCGAATATCCTGATATGTAACATAAGCTAACGTAAGCAGTGTTAAGGAAATCTTCCATCTAATTGCCATAGACATAGCTGTCATGAAAACAACAAATAGACACGTAGAAAAATGATCAATTATTTCACAACTTATGTGAATATGTTTTCCTTCCTGGATCCTCAAGTAAATGGGCCCCTGTGTCTGTTTTCTAGTTGATGTTCTCAACAACAAAGGAAACCTACACTTGATTTTGCCAATCTCTAAAAGTCAATGGCTATTCAGAAATCAAAGAGTTAAACTATCAAGTGAAAACCAAAATCCATTCAGGTCAGGGATTTTGAAACTAGGTATTTCAACAAACTCCAACGAAGTGCTCTGTCACTCAAACTGATAGATGGCTGGTCCCAATTTGCAGGGGAAAAAAGAGTAAGATCTACTAATCACATATTTTTGAAACCCCAGTTACTGCTACCTGCTATTAGCAAGTATCGATAGCCACCAAATGAATCAACAGCAAATACAGCTGTGGAAGAACCGGGAACAGTGTGCAGGCAGACCGCGTGTTTATGCAAGTGCACCTGGGCTGGTGCGATTCCATACCGCCTATACCCAAGACAGAATAATGATCCTTGTTATTACTAACTCTCTGAATATTTCAGGGTTCCCAAGGAAGAGTGTGGCTCCCAGGTGCTCTGAACTTGAGATACAAGGACTTAGAAAAAGGGAATAAATTAACATTTCATGACTCTCAGTATTACTTCTGAGTACTGAACAATTCTTTTAAGTGTCCTGGAAGCCATGCCTGAAAGAATGTCACAAAAGAGCATAGTACTTATTGTACGACAGAAATACTTACACAAACTCAGCTGGGAAAGACTTATTACATATTTTTAGTCAGATTAAAAATAGGTTAAAAATCATTTACCTTATTAATAGTGTGTGTGTGTGTGTGTGTAGGGTTGAATGTATGCAATGACATGTGTGGAAGTTCTGGGATCAAATTCAGGCCATCAGGCTTGTGTAGCAAACACTTTCATCCAATGAGCCATTAGCCAACTTTTAAAGTATGAACAAACACGGAGAGAGAGAGAGAGAGAGAGAGAGAGAGAGAGAGAGAGAGAGAGAGTGAGTCTTCTTCAAATCTCAACAGTTGTGAAAATAGCAAGTCTGGTGTTATATATAACTGCTCTTGCAAGATTTGAGGGTTTAGGTCACCAATTAGCCTTCTTAAGAAGCCAACTGGTATCTTTGGAACACTGGATGACTGATTATTTTTATTGAGGACAGTGGGTAAACTGATAACCAGGTTCTTAACCTCTACCCCACAGTAAAAAAGCTATGTTTCAAGAGCTTACTGAAATAAAAAGTCTTCTACAATTACTCAACATGCTGCAGGAAGGAAAATTTCAACACATTTGTGAACAAGCTGTACCAAACTGGGAACTGAATGAAGGATTGAAATAAATTGTGCAAACATATTTTCCAATCTTACAAACTTAAAAGTGCTTCCGGTCTGGCTCCCTCTCAAATCTGTTTGTCGGGTTAGCAGTCCCCTGCAAGGAGGCTGCTTGGCTTTTCCCAAACAAAGGCCCTATTGAAAACAATTAGAAATGACAGCACTATAAGCCACATCTTACAGATAGCTGCCATTCATGTGCAAGCACAGCTTTCTCACAGTGGAGCTCACTATTGGTTTCTTTAAAAAAAAGTTATTACATTTATGTTTGTTTATTCAGTGTGTGCACTGTGAGTGCCTGACACCGTGTAGGGGTTGGGGTGTGGGTGGGGGTGTGTGTGCCAGTGGACAACTTGCAGGAGTTGATTCTCTCCTCCTACTATGTGGCTCCCAGAGATCAAACACAAGTCCTCGGGCTTGAGTGCCTCTATCCATTGAGCCATCTCGCCAGCCTTCACTACTGGTTTCTTCTCTTGGAAACTCACCGTGGTCACTCTGGGGGTGCACGGCAAGGCACCTCTTCCCTACCTCACCAGGGTCAGCTGCTAAGCTCAAAGCCTTGCTCAATAGAAATGAACAGCTACAGGTTTTTGTTTTTTTTTTTTTAAAGCCTGACTCTGCAAAAAATGTCCCCATCCACTCAAGGGAGTGCTCGTTAGAAATAAGAACATGAAAGAATGTGGGCAGGACACATTTTTAGAGATGAGATAAACTTGTTTTTGTTTCTGCTAATATCTGAGACTACTGACCAAGCTTTGCTGACACCGTGAAGCCACAGTTCTCTCAGGGTGTCTGCCGTGAGCTGAAGACACAGTGGTATTGTGGTGGTCAATAGTGGCAGCAAGTTGAAACCAAATCTGGTGTCTCGCATTTTTATTTCTGAGGATGTTTAAAGAGGAACAGAAGCTGAGGCAGCTCAGGTCAGGGGTGTTTCTGAAATCAGCTTTGGTATTTGGAATGAACACACACACACACACACCGGCCTGGAACTCTGTAGACCAGATACTGGCTGGCCTTGAAATCACAAAGATCTGCCTGTCTCTGCCTCCCAAGTGCTGGGACTAAAGGCATGTGCCACCATGCCAAGACAAGGTTTCTAGTAGACCAGGCTGGCCTCAAACTCCCTAGGCAGCCAGGATTTCACATAGCTCACTCAGGCCAGTCTGCAATTCCAGATTCCTCTCCCTCTATCTTCCAACAGCTAGTATTACAAATGTGTACCACCACATTTGGCTTTAAGAGTATTATCTCTCCTTTTTCGTTTGTGTTTCTTGAGACAGGATCTTGCTATTGTAGCCCAGCATGGCTTTGAGCTCAGGAATCCTCCTGTTTTAGCCTCCCAAGTGCTAAGGTTATAGGCGGGCAACACAACATGTAGCCTACAGTATACTTTCCTACTCCCTTTCAAACCCAACCGTAGCCTCATCATGCAGATTCAACAAGTTCCAACTGCTGCAATGTCTAATGAAAAGAAAATAGAATGTGAGAACCGCAACAGTGACAGCTGACACCCACCAAAAACCTGGGGAGCCAAAGATGAATCTGCTGAGCACTGTCATTAATATTAGTTCCAACACCTGATGTCATCTTTTCATAGTGTGTTCTTACGGTGTGAGTGCATCCATATGTCCCAAGCATACATGAATAAATAAATGCTTTAAAAAACAGTTCCCACCTGGCTAGTTCTCCTGTGTATCATTATCAGTGGGATGATGATGTACAGTAGAAAGGCAGCCTCATCAAAACACTGTTCTCTGGGGCAAGGCAGACACACAAACACACACACACACGCATGTGCACACACACCTTCCTCGCACGAAGCCGGAGTAACATCTACGTACCTCGTAAGTCAGTCTGTCATCTCTAGAAACCTACAGAAGGCTCTAACCCTGATGACCCAGCGGCACAAAGGATATCTTTGATTCTCCGAATCCTCGGTTAACAGTTTGAGGTCCAGGGTGCAGCTTTGGATCAGCTCATCTAACTTCTTCTCTTCCTGACTGAGCTCCGTCACTTCTTTGGACAGGCCTTGACACTGGGCTAGCATGCCCCCATCCTCAGACAGGCTGCAGCCCCTGGAACCCAAACACACATAATTGTGGTGCCTCACAGGAGCCAAAGGGTGGAGAATCAACCACAGCCCCCATCACAGGAGGGCTTGCTGCTTGTCAGCCTAGTGTTAAATTGGAACTTTGTAAATACATATTTCATAAATACAGTCATGCACTTTTCACTCACACCACAGAAAGCAGGTGAAAATACAGTAATTTTCAGTCTTTTTCTCCAAAAAATGTCTATTTCTTTGGAAGGCTCAAATTCTGAGTAGAAAAGGACAGCCGCCTGGCTCCTTACCACCCTCACCGATCACAGGACTCCCAGGTGTGAAGAAAGCAGCAAAGAAGGATGAGAAGAGAGAAAGAATGAAAATATGATGAAAATTGAAGAGAAATGCCCCGGTCTGCTCTGATGGTCTCATATCAGCTGAGATGGAACGAGGCGCAGGGAACAAGTATGTTGACACAGGTCAAAATGGGCTCCTGATCTGTCCCAAACTCCAGATGCTCAGTTACCTATTCACCTTAGTCTTAAACTGAATTTTTCCAATTCTAGGGATGGAACCTAGGACCTTGTATAATTCATGGTTGGCCAGTGGACCATGAGCTACATCCCAAGCCCTTGAACTGTAATTTTTCTTAATTTTCATTTATTATTTTGTGTGTGTGGGTGCCTGCACACAATGGCCCACATGTGGAGATCAGAGAACGTCTTTGTAGAGTTGGTTCTCTCCTTCCACCTTTCTGGGGATCATACTAAGGTTATTCTTTAAGCACTTTATCCGTTAACCCATCTTGCCAGCCCCTGAACTATACTTTTTCTTAAAACATCTCACAAACAGATTTGGTCCTTTCACAGTTCAATGGTATGCTTATAAAACACTTGGTTCTGTCCATGATTCACAAATGACATTATCATGTGGAACCAGATGTGCTGGTGTACAGGTCTCTGCAAAGGAAACTCAGACATTTAAGTCTTACCTTCATTTACACAAAAAATGTGCTAATCTATCAGAACCAGGGATCAATTAGCATGACGTTATGTTTGTGCACAGCCACACAGTTCACCAAACTACACTATTACAGACAAGCCAGAGATACGTGTGTACCTATCAGATCACATGTGCATTCATTTAAGAGATGAGTCAACAGTTTCCCAGTTTACAATTGCAGAGGTCTGATGAATCCCATGATCTCCTTGATTGATGTCAAATACATAGTCAACAGTATCTAAACAGAAAGGCTCTGCACTTTTTATTATTTTTGTTTTATGTGTACAAGTGTGTGTGCACCTGTGTCGTGCAATGCCTGCAGAGGTCAGAAGTGTGCACCGAATCCCTTGGGACTGGAGTTATAGACAGCTGTTAGCCACCATATGGGTGCTGGGAATTGAACACGGGTCCTCTGTAAGAGCAGCCAGTGCTCTTAACTGCTGAGCCATCTCTCCAGCCCCATTAACTGTTTTTTTGAGACAGGGTCTCACATATTCCAGGCTGGCCTTGAACTCCTTATGCAGCTGAAGATGACCGTGAACTTCTGATGGCAGGTGCTTATCAACACAGCCCACTTATATGGTGCTGGGGACTGAGTCAGGGCTTCATGCATAAAGGCACGCATTCTATCAACTGAGCCACTTTCCCAGCCTTGACTTTCTACATAGGACTTTGAGAGGGAAAGAGAATAGAGAGAGAGGGAGGAAATGATGTGTGGATGTGAACATGAAAAGCAGAACTGGGTAGAAACTGAGGCAGTGATGGGGCCCATGAGCACCTGGGAGGCTGTGGACCCCTACTTACATCCACTGGACGTTGTTCTTAGACTTCTTCTTAATGAGGTGGATGCCTTCCAGCACGTTGGTGATGTCGTAAATCCTTCTCTTCTGCACCTTGAGCACCTCTGCTGCCTTGTTCAAATCCAAGACGCCGTCAGGTGACTGGCTCAGGAGCTGAATGAACTTCTTGGTGAGCAGACCGAGTGACGTATCATAGCGTGTTTTTTCTGAGGGAGATTTTGGAGCTTAAAGGAAAACAAAAACCGAACGGGGTGGGGGATAGGGGGAAAGGTAAAGAAATGAAGGGTTTCTTCGCAGCTAAGCAAGCCCTCTTTTCCCACGGCAGCCCAAGATTAGCATCGGAAGGAAAGCTGGTGTTTGGGGGTGAGTCACGAAAAGCTATGTGACAGCTTTATGGGAAAAGGAAGTGATGCCACAACTTCCTATATTTGAGGGTAACATTTTTTCTGAATCCCTCAGTAGTTGCTGTTTTTCCTTACCCACTCCCTAGGTCTAAGGAAATATCTCACACATAGGTGTTCAAAAATATCTGTTGAATGAATGACAACGTGCTGGAGCCTCAGGGGAACCACAGCTAAGAGGCCGCACCTGATGGAACCAGGTCACTATTCTAAAACAGGGTCTCAAACAGACTGGTCCTCCCTCACCTGCCCGTCAGGCACTGTTATCTGTCCATCCTATAATGTGTCATTTTGATGAAGGATACCCTGAAAAGTCCAAGCATCCTATCTCTCTTAAATGAAATTTCATTATTTAACTTTGTGGAAATCAGCTGTGCCTTATTGGGTGAGACTAGTTATTTTTGTTTTTCTTCTTTCCGAGACAAGGTTTTATTTGACCCAGGCTGGCTTTGAACTCACTATGTAGTTGAAAGTGACCTTGAATTCCCAATCCTTCTGACTCAAACTCCCAAATACTGGGATTATAGGCTGGTGCTGCTACACCCAGCTGATATGGTGTTGGGGATGGACCGGCCTTATCCATGTTAAGCATCACTCCTCTACAAACCAAACTGCATCCCCAGACCTAGTACAGTTAGTTCCTATGTTACCACGTGTTGAGCTGGAGACCAAGGTTGGTGGAGGCGTCACTTACTCCAGGACAGTTCATCTGTACCATGTTAATCTCACATTCTTTAAAAAAAAAAAAACCATTATTTTTATTTTATGTGCATGTGTGTATTGACTGCATGTAGGTAAGTGCGCCTGTGTTGTGCAATGCCCAAGGAGGTCAGAAGAGGGCATTCCCTGGAACTGGAGTTACAAATGGCTGTTAGCTGCCATATGGGTGCTGGGAATTGAATGGGGCTCCTCTGCAAGAGCAACCAGCGCTCTTAACTGCTGAGCCGTCTCTCCAGCTCCAATCTCACATTCTTTAGTGATGTTCATCCAGGGAAGTTAAGATTAAATTTGACTACGGAACAAGGTCAAAAGCTGATACACTGAGTTGAAAATGAAAATGCATTCGGCAAAAAAAAAACCAAAAAACCAAAAACAAAAAACGCTTCCCTTAGCTGGGTGTGGTGGTGCCCGCCTTTGATCCCAGCGCTTGGGAGGCACAGGCAGGAGAAGCTCTGTGAGTTCGAGGCCAGCCTGGTCTACATAGCAAGTTCCAGCCCAGTTGGGGCTACAGAGACCCTGTCTCAAAAAGACAAAACAAACAAAACCCCAAACAAAAAAACCCCCTCTTCCCTTAAGTCAGTATCGGGTGCTGGATGATCTCACCTTTTGCGAGGTACCTGCAGGCACTGTGTTTATTTTTTGGAAAGGCATAGAAAGCAATGAAAAAGAACCAAAGATGCCCAAATTATTCACACCTTGGCATCCTGCCAGCCACAAGCTTTTGCAAGATGTGAGTCCCACACCATGGAGAAAAGGAGACGGATGAAGGCACCCTTACTTTTTGGACTATCGGGACTCCGTAGTGCAGCTCTTCCTTTGCCCTTGGGGGTTTTTAGACCATCTGAGAGGTACTGATGGCCACTTTCGCCCAGCTCCAGCCTTCGCTTTGCCTGTAATCAGAAAGTGAGATAGCTGCCACCGGTCCTATGGACAAAACAAGAAGGGAGCTGTGCACCACCCTACCCACCGCTGCCGGCTCCTGCCAGCCCTCGTCCTTCTGCTCGGCTCCACGGTAGGGCTTGGCTGGTAGACCCCGTAGCTAGGGTCTTGCTCAGAAGACTAGGCTGTTGCACAGACTCCCTTTCTCCGCAGTCATCACCCACCTACCCATCCTTGGATGGACGAGCCCATGACTCTTCAGCTATAAGTTCATTATTTATTCATCATGTACAGGGGCTGGTTGCTAAAAACGTCCCACGCACCGTGGAACACAAGTTCACATACTCTGCATCTCCTGATCTGACCTGGGCTGGACCCTCTTCTTTGTGCTCCCCAAACACTTGTGTGTTTATTTGTCCTCCAACATTTATTGGTTACTTATGTGTTTCTCACTGTCTTTAAGGCAGAGAGTGTTCCTCATTTATCTTTACCCACTGGTCCTTGATGAAGAGCCTGGGTCTCCATAGGTACTCAATTACTCTCTATATATTCATCAGATGAGTGACTTAGTCCTACCAGTAATTATAGGCTACAAATGGCCCTTCATCAGAAAAATAATACAGTACATAGTCATGAGCTTGAACCAGTAGCACCTTTTCTAGCTTATCATAAAACCTGGCAAGAAGGAAGCCTTCACCTAAGTATTTAACTTAATTCTACTTCACCTGAAAAATCTGTGTGACTTCTGTGTATTGGGAACTGCACTTACGGAACAGGTGTAAGCAAGACAGACAAGAACCTCTTCCCACCGGGCGTAGTGGTACATGCCTTTAGTCCCAGCTCTTGGGAAGCAGAGGTAGGTGGATCTCTGTGAGATCAAGGCCGCCATCCTGGGCTACATAGCGAGTGCCAGGCCAGCTGGGGCTATAGGGAGACCCTGTCTCAAAAAGACCAAAAAAAGCCCCCTTCTTCCTTCCCAAGGCTTAACGTCTAAGAGAGAAAATTAGGTGCTTGTGAAGTTCACTGCATGGTTATGATGGGCGTTTGGAAACAGTGTCTCCAGTCAGACACCCAGCAGTGTAATGTAGTAAGTTCCTTTGGGGGTAGATTCTTCTAGTAACTCCCTACAATATGGGAAACAGCAATAATAACCTATCAGAGGACAAGGTCTATCTAGCTTGTCTATGAAAAGTTGCTGGTTCACCCAGTCTACAACAGAAGCCAAACACCATCTCACCCCAATTCATATGATATAAATATGGAATCACACTGGATTTCAAATATATAGTACAAAAAAGGAAAAATCTGCGTGCATGGGAGCACATGTATGTGCGGAGGCCAGAGGGTAACCTGGGGTGTCATTCCTCAGATGCCATCTACCTTATTTTTGGAGATAGGGTCTTTTTATTAGTCTGGACTGCACATTAGGTGGTTAGCTGGTCATCTAGCCCTAAGGATCCATTTGTCTCCACCTCCCCAGTGCTGAATTATAAGGATGTGCCATCACATCCAAGTGTTTTATGTGAGTTCCAGTAGTCATGTGTGCAAAGAAAGTTCTTTCCTGAAGCCTTTACTGACGGAGCATTTCCCCCAGCTCACCATCTCATTGATTTTGATACCAATTACATGCTTAAAAAAATATTGTGGCTTTATATTAAGTACACTATTATTAAAATGGTCATTACCTTTAACTATGTGGCTTGCATTTTTTCACACATTATCTTTCTGTTGGACAGGGCTGAGCCAATTTATCAAATGATCCAGGAAGGACAACTTCACAATTTGCTTTCCTGACTTCATTTCTCCCCTCCCATCTCTCCTGTCCAATCATGTGAGATTCTGTAGTCTTGGGTTGGCCTGGCAAATGTTACTGCTTTCTCTCTGGGGAGACAGACCCTTCCTCTCATAGCCTGAACAAGCTCCACAGGAGGAATTTCATGCCTGGTGTGAGAGAGAATGTGTGTGCAGTGTATGTGCTTGACATACCTATCTGTGTGTATGTGCATGTCCAGGGATGTGCATGGAGGTCAGAGGAGGACATTGGATGTCCTGCTCTATTAGCTTCCGCCATATTCTGACAGAGAGAGAGAGAGACAGAGACACAGAGAGAGAGAGAGAGAGACAGAGAGAGACAGAGGGAGAGAATGTGTGTGTATGTATATGAACACACAGATAAACTGAGTCAGGGTAATCACTATGCAGACTTAATCCTGGCCCTCCCCCACTGTGAATGGTTTACATGACACATGACCAAAGCTGGGTGACAAAGGGACAGTGTTAAGGATTTTCGTGGAACTACTGGCAAGGAGGAGCTATGCCTTTTCCAGCATGCTTGATAAGCCCTAAGCTCCTGGAATGAAGCAGAGGGACCAACAGAGAGGAATCTGTCCTGGCTCATAGAGCTGGTCTTCCCCAGACCTTTCAATTGTTTTAGCCAATGAAATCTCCTTTTAACTGAAAGCACTTTGGGCTGGAAAATTGGAAGTGTACTGTAAGCAGCACCCAAGTCAGGCTGGGCCCAGGCAAGACCGGGAGCTGGCAGGTCCTGGCAGAGTAGCAGGCTGCCCATGTGTCACTTCTTGTGTATCAGGAAGTGATTACAGATAGAAAAATTTGCTTTGAGACTAGACCACCTAAAAGCAAACAGTTGTGTTCTGGAAGCCTGGTCTGTCTGTGGAAAGAAATCCAAAGAGATAGAGACAACTACTCTACCCAGAACAAAGTCAACAGCAATTGGAAGAGACTGGGACCCAGCGCTCATCTGTATTCTCCTTCAGTGAACAGCCATCCCTTGATCAGAAGCCCGGGGGACATGCTAGTTCTGCCTTGTTACCCTAGGCTATTTATTCAAATTGCTTTGAGGCAAAGACCTATGGAAAACATAAACCCACAGGCTAGAGAAATTCCCAGAGGTCAGTTGCTAAGAGATTGAGATCTAACTTCAAGGACCAAGACTAGCCTCCACGCCCACTGGTCTTTAGTTACTAAGCAGCGAATGAAGTAAACCAATTCTAAATACCAGATAGTCTTGAGTGTTAGGCAAGAAAGCAAAGGCCTGTAACAGCTCTACGGGAATCAATCATGAGGCTTATAGACCCACACTAGAAACAAATGAGCTATGGAAGAAAGACAGCCCAAGAAATCCTGCCCAGAGGATTAACTGGGGAGGCCATTAGCAGCTCCATCAACCATCCCAAACCCACGAAGTCAGTCTGAATATGCCATCCCAGTCGAGGACATGATGTGGGATGAAAGGTGACCATTGGAGGTTTTTCCACTTTCCCAAATGGATGCTTTTGTTGGGTCCTCTTTTTTTCTTCTTTTCATGAATGAGGAAGGCTGAACTGGATGCCTATGGCAACTGGACTCTTGTGGGCAAAAGCTAAGGATTTTGATCTATGATGGGCAGCATTGTTTTAATGTGGAACTTGGCAAATTCAGTCACGTACACTTGGTAAAACAAAAACTTATTAAACTGTGCAGGTGCCTTCTGCCCCACCAGCCATACACAGATGAAGTTTCTCTTGTCTACTTACTGTCTTTACTTTGTTAGCTCATAGTGTGAGCATCTTGCCAAATGGAGAGCTGTGATGCTGTAATTTGGTATTCACTCAGTGTCCTGCCACAGAATTCCAGGACAGAATTGGTGATTCCTCAGCTGTTCACCAAACCTTTGGTTTGGTAATGCGTTAGCTGATGGCCATGATTAGTGGGTTGGGGCTTGTATTAGTTACTTTTGTACTGCTGTGACAAAATATCTGACAGAAACAATGTGAGGAAGGAAAGACTTACTTTGGCCCTTGGTTTGAGATGATTCAGTCCAACGGGTGGGAAAGGCATGGTGGAGTGTATGTTGGGGGAGTGTGTGGAAGCCCTTAGTTAACATCACAGCAATCAGGGAAGCTCTGGCCAGGACTAGGGGTCGGGTATATCCTGCCCCTATGGACCTCCTCTAGGTAGGTCTCACCTCTTAAAGGCTGCATAGCCCCGCCCCAAATAGCACCACAAGCTGGGAAACAGCATTCACAACCTGAGCGGGGATTTTAGCCCCAACTCCAATGTCTAGAGCGGGAAAAGGGGCTAAAGTTTGAATTTACTCATCAACGGCCAATAATTAAACCAACCAGCTTATAGAATGAAGCTTCCACAAAAACTCCAAGAGCCCGGATTCAGGGGATTCTGAGTAAGTGAACATGTGGAGGTTCCTGGAGACTGGTGTCCCAAAGGGGCCATATTAAGTCCACGCCCTCTTCTGTGCCTCAGCATGCACCTCTCTGATGTTTCCTTTGGAATACTCTTCATAATAAACTGATAAAGCCACGTAAAACGCTGAGTTCTGTGGCCACTCCATCAAATTAGTTATATCGTGAGAAATGGGTCATGGGAACTCTTATTCACAGCTGGTCGGTTAGAAGCGCAGGGAAAATAACCTGGGCTTGGGGCTGAGCCCTTAAACTGTGGGACCTGACGCCATCGTTAGGTAGACAACATCAGAACTGCCTGCCTGCTTGTTTGGTGCCGGGAAAACTGGAGTCGAGCAGACTGTTGAGCAACGAGTATAAGAAACTAAATTTGCTTCCTCTCAGCATTCTTTTAGGAGTTTCTACTCTCCACAAGCAGATCTTCATATCAGATCTTCCTATTTCAGGATCTTTACCAGTAAAACAACTTATCTGGTACTTAGCAAAGCACCAGTCATTTGGTCCCACACAGGGAGGAAGGGCTGGATAAGTGAGATACTACATAGAATTCTGACGCGTCAGGCACTTCCTACAGAATTTAAGGATAAGTTTTACTAATGACAAGGGCTGTTCTAACTTGAGAACCTCAGTTACATGTAAGATGACATCTCTCTGTAATGCAACGGTTGTACTGTACAGCATTTCCAAAGGCTTAATAGCTACATATAAGAGTCATAATCATTAGGCACCCACATGTGGGTTGTATGTAACATCCATGGCCACTGCTGGGGAGCTGCTGACTTTACTTTTCTATTGGGGAAGGAATTCCA